ACAACACTAAATAGTACAACAATTTTTTGTACTTATAATATTGTATATATATCTATCTTAACTTTGTCTCAATTAACATTTATTACTTAGATAATGAAATAAATGTATGAAAATGTAATTTTGCTCAATAAAAACACTAAATTTATGAGTGTTTCTTTTGATATGCTATTGTGTGTGTATGTTTGTGAAAATATACGACACTGAGTTTTACAAATTCTATAAAGAAGACAATAATTTTCCATAAATCAAATGACTGTCGTATTCTCGCGCAGAAGAAAATACGAAGAACGAAGTGAATATAAAACGTAACATTGTCTCGATTTTTGAGCTTTCGACATCTCAGTGTCTAATTGTTCAATTTTTTCTTTAAATTCTCGCGTTACTTTGGCAACAATAATGTTTCTGTGCACAATGTGGGGATATTTACACGTTCGCAATAAATTCCACCGTAAATCCTAAAAAGAAACCATAAATTCTCAGGATTGTTCAGAATTTCTATGCATATCTTTCGAAAGATAATTATTAGAAATTTCAAATGTTTTTGTTATATATTAAGAAGCGATTAACTCACCAGCTTCGTAAAGTCGCGTAAATTTGCACAATTGGCAACAACATGTTTACTAGTTTGGCCCGCGCATCTCTTTGAGTTTTTGCCTGGAATCCCATTGAACCCTCGTTAGAGTATCCAAATAAGAAGGCAGGGATTTCGACTACGCGTCGTGAGTCCTGTGTCGTGAGTCTTTCAAGATATCGTGTTAGTGTTCATTGGCTTGCTCCGTTTTATCCGTACACAATAAGAGAGATATACTTTGTGTATGAAATAACTATGATATGATATTATTTTTGTTATAATAAGCAATTGAAATGGTTCAACTATGTTTAAATTTTACATTTTCATCAATTTTTTTCAGTGAACCAAAAGTCCTTATTCCATTAGTTTGTATATAATTAAAAATTAAAAATTGAGTACGGTCGCCTCATGTGCTACATTAGTATTAAATTCTCTCTTCCATACTTTGAAAAAATATATATATATATCTGTTAAGACCAAAAAAGATTTTATTTTTACGTTTGTTTAGATGATATATTTTTATTTGTTCGAGCGAGAGTAGATCGCAAGTGATGAATAAGTGGATTCATATCTTAAGATGGCTGTGATGAGCAATCAAAAACCTTGAAGAAGGTCAGTATGGATACAAGTAAGCGAATTATTTCGGGATCGATGGACACTTCTCTACATGACGTGACTGTAATCTATTAATCTTTTGTTCCAACTTAGATGTGCATTTATGAGCGCAGCAATTCATTAATAATGCATTATCTGCAGTATTAGCGGTCTAATTGATAAACTACACAAAGATGAGGTCAGGTAGTAAGTGCGTTTCAAATTTCCTCTAGTATATTTCGTTTCATTGTATCACGTATGTGCGCGATAGAGAACTATAAATAGTTTGATTAATACAATGTATACTCTTGGTTTAATGGAATTTTAGCTAATATAATCCGTTTTAAAATATTTAATTAGGCTCTTATTTTGATACAATTCAGTTTCTGTCATGAGATAATTTAGTTTGATTAAATGTGAATTTTGATATAATTAAATTGTTGCGTTTTGCATACTTATTATATGATTAATATTATATATCAGCAATAATAATATATTATTTCCTTTTCTATGGACTTCTCTTTCTTCGCAGAATATAATAAATATTTGCCTTTCTTTGCACTGCTCTAATTTGCTTTGAAATTAATTTCGCGTCAAGATATGAAATAAGTTGAATGCGTAGTCGCAATGAATAGAACGATGATATTCTACGACCCTCTTTTACCGCAGACACGCTTTTCATCGACGAAGCAATAATACGGTTGAAGAAATAAGGATCATCAAGGATGTATGATATTCCCGTAATTGAATTCCCTCATATCACGATACCCAGTTCTCTTATTACGTGACTCTATGCTTTTCGTGTGCAAACTGGGTAATCATGTACATACAGATATCGAGTTCAGCGTGGGTGTATACTACCTAATCAAGCTGGAACAAGCATAAAAATAAAATCTTTCTTAACAAATGTTTTTTTTTTCAAAATGTGGAAATTTAACCTCAATGTAGCACGTGGGATCAATCCTACTCGATTTTTAATTTTGAATTATCTACGAACTGGAAGTGGAATAAAGTGGAAGTGGAAATTTACGAAATAGAATGAGAACTTTTGGTTCACGTATTAAAAATAATTATAGTTGATAAGAATATGAAATTTAAACAAAGTTTTTATTTCAATTGCCTATTATAATAAAAATGCAAAATTATTAAAACACTTTTTTTCACTCTATTACAGTAGATTAAAGTATCAAAGTGTAAAATAAAGATGTAAGATAGAGATAAATGTAAGAGAGATCTGTTTACGTTATATTTCGGTTTTCTTTATATTAAATATAACATATAAGAAAAGATTTATATAAATAATTTATTTGTTTTCGCTGAATGTATTGTATGTGATCAAGATATTTATATCTTTAAATTTTAATCAAGAATAAAGAATAGATTAGAGTACATTTAATATTTATAATATTTATAAGTTATAATTGTAATAAAATTTCCCTTATAAAATGTATTAATACTGCAAAAACTGCTGAAATTGTTAATAACTTTTTCGCCTTTTGACTTGAAAAATGATGTATTTTCGTATATCTCCAAATATTTATATATTTTGTGACGAATTGAAATATATAACTTTTTTTTTAAAGTTCAAGCTTAACTAGAAAATCCTACAGTGTTAAATTTTTATGTAAACTCAAGTCTCCATCGCATTTCTCTTTATAATTATAATAAAATGAAATACATAAGTGAATATTTACGATCAGTTCTGTACATAATACTAATTGTACATACCTGAAAGTATATTTATTATTTTTTATAGATTTCTGTTAGCATTTTTACGAAATGTAAATAAACGAAGATGAAAACGATCTCAATCAGATTAAGGTACCTAAAACATGTGTGCCATGCGAAAATTAATAAATGTTAAGGTAAATATCCCGATAATCGAACTAATAAGAAAGCACGATCAGTTTTATATTTTTATTAAAAAATAATTAATGGAATCCCACACAACATGTCTAAAATCGGGACATAAGATGTCTGAAAGGCATCTTAAAGACCTCTCTCAGACGTCGGAATGTAAGATGTCCCTAAGATGTCTTTAAGATGTCTTATGTCCCGATTTTAGTCGTTGTGTTGGGATTACTACAGAAACTATCGTTTATATAAAGCTTTGGTTGTCAATGATTAGAAAATAATATAATTTCGTAATTTTTCGAGTGACTTTGGGAATTCATGCGTCTTGTCAAATAGGACAACTTTTTCAGTGAAAATAGAATTCTGTCATTGGATAAGACAGAGGGTACATACATAGAAGAAAAGAATATTCTTGTTTGGAGAATATCTTTATTACAGACACATTAAAAATAAATTTAATATTAAAGCGAGATTATATGTGGCGTTAAATGATAAGATAAATTAGTTTTCAATTAGTCTTCAACCAAGACGAATATAATTAAATTAACACAATTATTTTTTCATACATAAACGAAAATATCAATATTGTTAGTTTTATCCTCATTCTCATATACATAAGCAGAATATCAATATTGTCTTGATTAAATTTACCTTCGTTCAATGCCTTATAATCTCATTTGAATATAAATTTTATCTTTAAAGTGTAAACAATAAAGATTTTCTCTAAATAAGAATATTCTTTTTTCTGTGCAGACTTACCCCGAATATTACGAGCAACTTTTCTGTTTTCTGCAGAAATGATATCTATCAAATTACCCATTTCCTTAATTTGTTGGCCAATCCAGTGCTGATGTTTCAATTAAAGTGTCCTGATACTTACAGTTTTTGAGTAATTAACGATTAAAAGTAATGGGCGTGCCTAGATGCACGCGCGCGCGCGCGCGTGCATATCGCCGGCGCGTGTATTTATAGCGGCAGCCTTCTCTCTTCGCTACGAAAATAAGCGCTTTTCCTGTTGTCCATGCCAGGCGTCACGTTTTTCCTCGGGTCGCACGTACTCGACGCTCACGCGACGCGTCGCCTCGTGTCGCGTCGTGCCGATCTGTTTATGTTTTCCCGGCTCGTCCGTTGTTGGCCGGTGATATTGGCGTTATGCAACAGAATATTGCACCGTGTCCAGATCGCGACTCATAATGACTGTCCGACCTTATTTCGCGTCGTTCCATGCGCCGCGCCGGTTGCCTATTTTTGCACTTCGCAAAATTTACGCGACACTCGATAAGATCCCACGATAAATCCTGGCGGAATGAAGAGGATGCCAACTGATCATCATGAGTGCATGCTTCCGTCAATCGAGCATCCGTTCCGATACGGACACAGCGAGGCTACGAGATTGCGCAAGCGAGATCATCTCGCGAAACTCTTGAAAACTTCCAGGGTTACTTGTGCCGCGTGAAAATATATTGTTATTTCGGGAAGCGCTCCATTTAGAAGCGCGTCGGCGTATAGGCTCGATCTAACAATATGTACGCCGGCTTAGAGCCGGCCGAGACACGGTGTGCCAAGGGTGCGAAAGGATAAACAGACTGTATTCCGTGCGAATCGACGCGACGATCTGCGAATGAGTGCGAAAATAGTACACTTTGATTCGCGGAACGCTAGTAAGCCTCTTCGACTCACTAATCACATCTGACGCAGGGCAACCATAAATCTACGCGGCACGCTCGAGTTCCTAGCTATGCGTAACTATTACGCGCTGCTTCGTGATATTTTTTTTCATCTGTTTCTGTTCCTCTCCAGCGGAGCCACAAATTCCCCGTGGTAGAAAAAGAAGAGAAAAAAGAATAATTCAACAAAGTTTCGGGCGCGACACGCGATCGATATACGCGCCGGCGTACCTGAGCGGAGTCGCGTCGCGGATTCTCTATGTTATTTTTGGCGTAACGGCGTATAACGACGAGAACGGCGCCTAAAGTGACGCCGTGTCTCGGTGCTGGCGACAGCCTCGTGAACATTTCTGCCGGCGGACGTGTCGCTGCCAAATTGCAAATATATTATATGCGCGCGCATTCGAACGAGCGATGCGCCGAGTCGCTCGCGGGGAATAACGGATGCGCTCGCACGTGGGTGGCGCAATTGTGTTGCATTGCAAGGGCGAGCGTCGGTGGATGGACTTGGACGTGCTGTCCGACACAGAGATACGCTCTTTTGTGTCCCCGACACGGTACTTACAACGTACTAGCCAGGAATGTCTCCCTTCTCGCTTTTGATAACCTTTAGATGTAACCATGGGAACTGTGAATAAGCGACACCGTGAACCGAGGTTATTTTGCGACGTTATGTTACACGAGGGGTAATGTGGCGTACACGCCTTTTCGCATTGTATAACGCGGTATGATTCATTGGGATTTTATCGGCGGCTGAGAACAAGAGATAGAATATTTAGTTTAAATAAATATATATTTTATAAATAAATTATATATATATATATATATATATATATATATATATACACATACTTCAAACATATCAATATGCATATATTTATTATTTAAATATATATATATATATATATAAATATATATATATACACACATACTTCTATTATTTAAATATATATATATATATATATATATATATATACACATACTTCAAACATATCAATATGCATATATTTATTATTTAAATATATATATATATTTTTTTTTTTTTTTTCAAGTAAAAGAGAGAATAAGTAAAAGATAGATATGTTTATTTCAAATAAACATTTTCACGTATTTTTTATATACATATGTATATATATTTCTTAAATAAACATCTACTCTAAATAAATAAATAAAAACATACGTTGTGTCTCGGTGGAAACGGTCCACAACAGCTCGGAGCTAATTTGATATATTCCCCTGGGAGATCGAGTTGTATGAAATACTTTCTCGATTAAAAGTTTTATGATGCAAAATTATTCGCATCTATATTCCGCGAACTTTAATTCTGCGTCGCAATTTATTTCACAATGTCAATTACCGATATTGGGGGGATACAACAGTGAGAAATATCGCGGGCACTGAGTGTTTTATCGTCCGAAATCGGTGAATTTAAATGACAGAGAGATACGGGACGCGATCTGTCAAGGACACATATTGTTTTTATTACTCGATGTGGAACCCGTATCAGCTGGGGTGTATTCGGATCCAGTGTCACGTACTGATTAGATTATGCACATGACGAATTAACGAAACATCGTGAACGGGACGTTATATTAAGCACACGATGTATCTAACCGGGATGTGTTTAATCACCGTTACGTTACATAAAATCCTTTTTATTCACACTTATGTGAAGGTGATGCGTCTATTTTCGCGTGTCCGTCGGCGCCGGGCTACGAATACAACGTTATACCGTCGTATGACGCGGATGTACGTAATGAAAAGATCGACTGCCGCCCTATTAAAGCGGAAAATAACGTATCTTCTCATAAAAGCGGACATTTATAGCGCGCCGGTATCGGCCCGAACATCTGATGCCGAAGATCGAGCAGTTCGAACGACCGAAATTAGACCCGCCGAGCTAAGCTCCGCGATTTGCTCTCAAACTCGTCAAAGAGCACACGTGTCTAAAAGGGTGGACGATAAATCCGGACCGGTCAGACACACTCGAGTTCTTTCGCGCGCAATCATCCACGTGCGTCAATGAATTCCGCCGATGTGATTCCGAGCCTGCCACGGCAACGCTAACAGTAAGCCGGGAATCACCTTTTGCCGCGTTGTGGATCACTGCCAATGGCAGCGTGTAATCGTGCAACCGTCACGAGAACGAGCGGGATCCTGAAATAAGTCGCAGTTTCTTTCGGACTGGCCTCGCAAATCCGCTCCGTATATCACGATCGTTAACATTGACCCTGTCGCCTTGTCCTATATCTGGTCCAAGTCCAACGAACAGGACGCACCCGGTGAATCATCATTTGTGCGATTATATGCGTTTTACATCGCGAACGATTGAACGTTAAGGTCCGATCTACACTATCGATCCGATCCACACTATCGGTCCGATAAAATATTCTTCCATTGTTTATAATGTACGTATCTACATTATGAGTAACACTACAGTTTCAGTTCGTTCTCGCTCCGGTCTCGCTTCAGCAATGTTCCTTCGAAAGAATATTTTGCTGGAGCGTGACTTGTCCGGAGCTGTACCGATAGTGTGAACAGGCTTCCGATCGATTTTTCAATTTTTGACAACATCATTTCGAATGTGCCTGCACTCATTCGAAAATATTTGACAAATTTATCTTTATTGTCTACTAAATGGGAATATAATGTGAAATCCCAAGTAGGAGTTTACTACTGGCATCAAAGTGGTAGTACTTATCTAGTACCAATTTATGGTAAATAAACATTACTGGCATAGTACCGGATGCCGGGTTTAGTATTAGTGTGATATTGGGATGATAAAAAAGGGCCAGTATCGGAAAACAATACTGTCACAGTACCGGAAATCAGTACTGTACCAGTATAAAAAAATATTGATTCCTAGCACTGGGAAAGTACCTATTTCTCAGGCCAGTATCGATTCCTAGTAATTTTTATTATTTATACAATCGTTAATATCACGACTATATAGTACGGAAAAAAAGATCAGACCATTGCTGGGCTGCTTTCGTTTGTACCTATACATGTCTATTTTTAATAGTCATATGAGGAAAAAATCTTTGGAGCGAATCGAACTCGAATCTTTCGCTTGTCAGGCAAGAGTTCTTGCCGCACACGAATTAACATAACAATAACGTAAGACGTATCGTAAGAATTGACCAATCACTTTGAGTATCGTCGAACCGTAAGGTCGCCATTTTTGTGAATACTCGATTGTAATTGGTCCATTTTTACGGTATGTCTTACATTACACTGAGAGAAGAATTTAGTAAATATTATCAAAATTTGGTTACTATTACTAAATGGTAGACGTAAATATAGCGGGCCAAAGCTATGGCAATACTTATTAATTAATTTCTGTAGTTCTGTAAAATAAATTATTTATTTGACAGAAGTAAAATTTATTTGATTCCAGAATATATTTGGTAAATAAAACTTATTGAATAGTTGAGCAAAATAAGCGATTTTGTAATAGTTCCAAAATTTTTGGTAGGTTCAACCAACCATCTGTAATAATAGATATTGAAACGATGTAATAGCTGCAAATGAATGAATTTTTCGTTGTGCTGCAAAAACATACTTATACTTATACTGGTAACAAAATAGAACTCGTACCTACTGAATTTTTTATTATATGAGATATAACAATTTCATAACAATTATCAAATATCTATTCATAACTGTAATATATTTCATATTAAATATTTAACATTAAATAACTATTACTAAATTATTTAATTGATGTTACTGTGAATGCAATTACGTCATACTCCCAATCTATTAAATATTTGGCAATTATTATTATATTTAGTATTAGTTACTAAGGATCCAACGAATTTCTGTAACTAAATGCAGTTTGTTATAGTTACCAGTCTTTTCTCTCAGTGTACTGTTATGTCAATTCGTATGAGGCGCCCCTTACCACTGAACTATCTAGGTTTCGCGTTAGTGACTTCTTCCGTTTTCCCATAAGGGACATTGATATCGTCCGTTTTTCGGTACGGCCCAATATCCTCTATTGGTAGATTCTTACTTGGGTATCCAGTACTGATTCTACGAACAGGATAAAAAATACAACTTTTTAAATACTGGACCAGTACCGAAAACGATAAACACTTTTCAGTAACGCTTCAGTATACGTACGGTATAACTATCCAGTACTTAACTTTAGTACGGAGCCAGTACCAATAATACAGATTTTTTATATTAGGCCCAGTACTGAGCTAGTACCAAAACCGGACATCCACTTTTCGATATCGACCCAGTATGGGCTATTTTTCTGTACTGCGAAACGTATACGATTCCTACTTGGCATATTCTTCTTCAGTTTTTCTATTGATCAAACTGGGATGAACCCACATAAATCTTTTTCTTATCTTTCTTTTTGTTTTATACTTCTCACTTTCTCTATCTTCATCGTCCAGTGCCATAGCAATTATGATTAATCCTTTATCAGAAAATAGCGCCATTTTTCGGGAAAAAATTATAATGAACTTCACGACGGAAGGTAGAAACTATACTGACCATTTGGGATTGGATCGTGAGCGACTCGATAGTGTGAATACTGAAGGAATATGATCGGACCGTGAGCAGATCGATAGTGTGGATCGGGCCTAATGTTTCTCGATAC